CCAATCCATTGTCCATAACTCCACTGCTTCCTCCCTTCTGGAAGCAGCACTTTCCTCCTTCAATGTATTCTATTTGGGAGGGGGAGAGGGAATACCGGAGAAACCCAATGATACCCACTCCACAAAGAAGGGAGAGGGGGATTTTGGCAGAGGCCTGGCAATTTGTCATCATCCAGCAGCAAACTGGGGAACACTTCTAGCCCTGCTGCCCTGTTCATATAAGCACGATAGGACAGATACATCCATATTGCATAGGATTAAGGAGAACTCACCCAGGACTCTGTCAAGAGTGGGGGAAATTTCACCTCTGAGCAGGGCTAACAAGAATGCAAGTAGTGTCTTTCCTTAGCCCAGGGCTCCATGCAGCTTCAAGTGACTTGGAAGACCATCACCTGCTCCCTATTATTGAATGGAGTTAGGCAAGCACCAAAAGATTCTCTGTTTGGTTTAGGTGCTGCTCCCAGACAGCAAATGAGCCCATCCTTTGAAGATGACAAAGGTGCTGGTGTTTGGGGATGGTACCCCTAGAACGGCCACTAAAGGTACATGTGAGGGAGCATGGGGCTTGTTTGGATATCTGGCAGGACGATCTCAATTCTTCACCTTCCCTTCCACAAGAAAGTGGGCTCATAGGATTTTAACACCAACACTTTTGTCAAGGAGTCAGACGCTCTCAGCTATATTCAGAAAGGTTTAAGGTGCATGAAATAACAGGTCTGTTTGTGGAACAGAAAACTTTGGTTGTCTTAACTGCTACCTCCACAAGCCTCACCCATTCCCTCTGAATAACACTGCTTTCTCTAGCCTGGAGTAAAAACTAGTCTCTGTAGAAACACAATATTAGTAACTTTATACAGCAAACAAGCCATCTGACATATTAAACTATATAATTTGTATTAGAAATGCCTGTCCCTGAAATTTAGAGTTGACTATAGGGCTTCTCAGGTTGGTGAGAAAGAGAGGGTTGCATGTTTTGTAAAATTATCTGTATATAATTAGCTTTTATGTTTGCAAATCAGTTTTACTCAGAGGGGTGTGTAAAAATGAGGGTTCATTATTTCTTCTCTCTCGGTGACTCCTTATTTGCCAACTGAAGCAGTTTGAGCTGGAGATTGGATTTTTCTAGCTGCAAATGCAGAAAGTTCAGCCTGAGGACTGAAAACACCTTTTCATGTATCATCATGGCTGGCAAAGATCATGGCCTCAATTATACCTATGCACCCTCACTGTCTCCAAACAATGTACTGCATTGCACAGGCATAACTAAGGGTCTCATTTGGCTTGCTTTACCAGATCTCCATTCCTAGCGGTGGTGGTGATGATGCATAAAATAGATGGAATCCAACTTGATTTTGATAACTACAAACTCAACAAGGCTTTTGAAACCCAAGTGTTTACATGTGAACAGATCAAATTTAATATGGAAGCCAATGATGCAAGACACACCTGTAGCCAGTTTTACAGAATCAGTTTTCAGAGAAGAGGTTCATTTTATAAATAAATACACTGAAGGCTACAGCCTGTGTTCTGTGGAATCTGTAGATTGCTTGTGTGGTTAAGGAATATAGGGGTAGGCCCTTAGATGAGAATAAAAGTATCTTCAAAAAGCTACTCTTCAACAAGAATAAGAAAGCACCATTGGCTGAAATTCATTTATAACTCAAAGAAATAATGCATTATACGGTTTAAACTTAAATTGTGATACACTTCAATTTTGTAAGAATTTTAAGAATTTTAATGTTATTTGATAACAAGGATCTAATCATTGCAGTGGAATCTTATTTCCTAAGTCCTTAACCTGAGGTTATATGGTTCAGGCTGGAGACCAGTTACGAGACAAGAGACTACACAGGAAATAAAGCATTCCTCATGCACATAACTAAGATGGAGCATATTTCAGAAGTACAAATAAGGTTGGCCAGACAAAACTAAGGTTAGAGCTCTCTCTCTATAGACCATACCATCTTAAATCTAACCTCATTTATATATTCTCATGCACATATTCAACATGATACTGAAATTTAATTGTCTGATAAATTATTTTAAAGAAGACAAAACTGACTAGAAATAGTTCAGGTACTTCAAAAGAACTGATATTCAATTAAAACCCATGCTACTGTCAAACCTTAACCTATGTATTGTAATTCCTAGAAGTAATGTCCCTGGAAACGAAAGCAATGGGAATGACATTCCAGCACTAGTCGGAACTGGTTGGTCTGCAGTGTGATGTCAGTCCCACAGGTAAGTCCCTGAACTGAAAGAAAAGGTAGACCCAGGATTATTGGGAAAACTTGATAGCCCTTTGCCTTTGGGTACATTGACTATTTTTGTGTACCAGTGGGTATCTTGGTGAGTTAGTACTTCGCTATTGTACTCAACTCTCTCCAATAACGATTTATTTCACATCTGCTTTTCATGTTTAATAAAAAATTATAAATAAATATTTTTTTTAAATAAAGAGCATATAGGACTCATATAAAATTTTGGATTTACAACCTTTGAAGCCAGCTCCATGTATCCACAGAATAGGTCCAACATGGGCCGCAGCACTCTAAATTTCCCTCCCATGGCCTTGCCACGGTGTGTAAGCAACCAGCTTGTTGTTCTGAAGTTATTCAATTTCCATGGCCCATTCAATCCTTGACTGCCCACGAGTTCTGTGGCTGCGTTGGCACCTATGTTAACAGAATTCCTCTCTCCTCGTTATATCTTTTAGCAAAAAAAATTGGTCACATAGCATAGCTTTTTTTTTTAAATGAAAAGGCCACCTTAATTACCTATGATACTTGAGAGCTTAATTTATTATACATTGTTTTAAGACTCTTCATTGACAAATGAAGTCATTTTATCTAAATACATTTCCAACATATGGTACATAATATATAATGGTTTATTGTATCTGATGGTAACAAACACTTTCTAACTAGAAATTCAACAGGAAGAACATACTATTTTGTTCCTACTTTCACAGGGTATATAGCATCCACGGAATATGATTGCTCAAGCAGTTTTCTTCTTTGCAAAAAGTGTGTTAAAAGATCTTTTAAATGTCCCATTCCAAGAAAAGAGCCATTAGACAGCAATAAACAGCTGTGAGAGTTCACAGGCTTGTCTAAGTGAGTCAATAAGAGGTTTGTTCACTAGAGTTTCTGTCTCTGGTGACCAGCTCACTTCATTAATCACTTCATTAATAACTTGCATTATTTTATTTGCATGCTTTAGCTGTCTTCAAGATCTTAAATTATCTTCTGCAATCCAGATGCAGGCCATATGGTGTTTGTGCAACTAAAAGTGAAGGGGTCTATTCTCATCTCGATGTGTGGGGAATCCCTGAACACCAAGAGAAGAACATATCCTTAAGGGTTAAAGGAGGGAACACATTTTTATTTGATTACAGGGCTTAAGGAAGTGACTTATATTTGCTATAAAGAATGTAAAGCACAAGAATTGTATGTTGTCTTTGGATCCTGGAAACAGCTAGTGTTGAAGCTTCATGATGCTGTATAACAGTACACTGATCCCTAGCAAGCTAGTTTCAATAATGCAAAGCTAACAAAAGGTAGTATTTTGTTTGTTGTAATGGAAGGCTACATAAATATATTGCAATTCTTCTTTCCCTTCATTCATGGAATCTACATGCCTTTGTAGTGACGGATCAAATTAAATTTGAAGAGAGGTACTTTGGCTACATTGACAGATTATTCTAAAGTTGATAAGACTGCAATCCACAATATACACAAGATTATACTATTTGACACACTTTCTATTACTTTAATAGCAAGTACATTGAAGAAAGTAGCTTGACTTTTGAAATGGCACAGTATTTTTTTAAAAAACTGCACAATGTATAGCTATTAATCTTCCTCCATAGTGCCTCAGTGCAGTATATATCAGTAGATTTATGACAGGGGTATATCCACTGTACTTTCTTCTAGGGATAATATAAAAGTAGCACTTTATTTGTTATCAACTTCAATCTTTTCCTAAATAATCCAAGACAGATCGAGACTGCTTATGCCTCTCACTAAAGGGCTAATGAAACAACCAGTGTTTCCATTAACACTGGAGCTGAAAAGTGGCAAAAAAGAGATTCTCACCTAGTCTGATTAAAGTGCGCGTTTTACAGATTTCTGGTGCTATAAATGAAAAAATAAATCCCAGGTTGCTTTAGCAACCAAATGTCCCTTTAATAGCAGCCTTGAGAAGCAATTTCTAGCTAGCAAATCAAAATTTGTTTTGCAATCTGCTTCTACGATTTAGGACAATTCTGCATTACTATCAGTTTATCCCATGAAAAGTTTTATCTGCCAATGACTTTATGACAGGATCATTGTCTGTATCCAGCTCATAGGCTAGATGGATGTAACTGTGAACGTTGAGATTTTGAGCTCTTACGATTCAGTGTAACTGAAATGGTGCCAGATTAAGCCACCAAGAAACAGGCTCTAACAGTACAAGATCTACAAATAGGTAGGACTCAACAACACTATGCAAAATGGACCCTGTACAGCAACTTTCTGTCTTTATCATGGGCAGGCATTTTTTTGGAAAACAGCTTTGTAAGTGATATGCTTCTGCAAGATGGCTCGGTCTAACTTACCTTGCATTAATGAGGTACTGTGCTAAGCTGATGTTGGCCGGGGATCCTGTGATTGTAACTTGTCGTTCTGCTGAGCCTTCTGTGGCATTAGCAATCTTGATCTGCGCTCCTGACATCTGCCTGATTTCATTTATCTTACTGCCTTGTCTGCCAATGATGCAGCCTATTAACTGGAATGGGACAAAGACTGAAATTAGTGCTACAGATGTGAGCAAAAACCATTGAACCGAAACATGTCATGTTGACTGAAATGTGGTTACTAACATTTCTCAATATCAAAACAAAAGATTTTTGTGGTGCTGTTTGGAACGAATACCTAGCAGGGGTATGGGCTCATTGGTCAAGTGTCTATATTTAATGCAGTATCATTTTGTAGATTGTTATGTATGATCTCAGTATCATAGGAAATTTAGCCATCCAGTGTGTTACCAAATACCGACACATTGTAGTGCTTCAGAGTACAAAGTAGAGACAAGTTTGAATTGTCATTGAAAATATCAAGAGATGCAACATAACTGACCAAATTCTTTACTGACCAAATTCTGTCCTCCTCTAAAGAGATCGTGCTCCATAAAAGACAATGGCACTTAACCAGATAGCACAAGATAGCAAAGATCTGGCCTTAATGCAATACAGTTATCATGTATTAATTAGTAACAGGATTTTAAAAAATCATTAAGATCAGAGTTTTAGATATCTGCAACACTCGCAAAAATTCTTTTAAAAGGATCTTTTTCTTTCATATCTTAAGCCATTCTTGGAGCCACTCCAAGAATTTGGTAAGTGGTCAAGGGCCCCACACTTCCATTATATTAATGGAGGAGCTACAGGGTCTGGGATGGAGATTGGATCAAGAAGGGAGCTTGGGGTAAGGGACTGGGGTGTGGGATCTGGGAAGGAGTTTGGGTGAAGTAGGGGGATCGTGACTGGGGAGAGGAGGGAGTGCAGGGCCTGGGATGGGAGTGTGACCTGGGGCGGAAGTGCAGGAGGGGCTGAAGGGATTTGGACTGTGACCAGGGACAGCAGATTGGAGTGCAAGGTCTGAGACGGGGTTTGACCTGAGGATGTGTCTAGGAGGGGATGCAGTGTCTAGGAAGGTGTATGGGGCTGAAGGTTTGGGTTACATGAGGCAGAAGGGGGGCAGAGGGTTGGGGGAGGGAGGAGGGGCTGGAGTGCCAGAGACAAGCTCTGGCTGGGAGACCTTACCTGGCTCCCAGCCAGCAGCCCAGCAGGTTCCTTAGCTAGTGTCCCTACCTCCCAGCCCCTGTACGTGCTCATGGGAGCTGCAGGAGCCCATGTTTATTGCTCTGAACTGAATGCTGTAAGCTCTGGAGATGAGGGAAGAGGGGCATTTTACATGCTGCCTGTCCTACAAGCAGACAGCTGCTGTTGGTCAAAAACAGCCAGTGGGAGCTACTGGGTGTGGGGGCAGCATGACGAGCCTGTTTCCCCTCTCTCCAGGCTCTCAGCATTCAGAAACAGGCAGGTGTAGAGCAGTAGGGAGCTGGCTGAGGCTCTTGCGGCCAGATCCAGCCCGCAGATCATCTTTTGCCCAGCCCTGGAGTAGAGGCTGGAGCCAGCTTCTCCATTTATAGCAGGCAGCAGCAGCAGCTGCTACTGCTTCTACTCCTCCTAGAGGGCGAGCGTCCCGCACCCCTTTTCCCCCAGCTGATCAGCTGAGCTCCCTGCCTGCGTGGGGAGTTCTGACTCTCTATGCGGTGCTCAGAAAAGGGCTGCACACCCGCATGGGTACACAGCTTAGAGGGAAGCTTGTTCCCCACCTTGATTTAGAGAAACAAATAGCTTCATTTTATTTGTGAAATGTAAGTCAGCATTCTGCATGTGTCCTTATGTTCCATTTTATCCTTCAGTAAAATTGTGTTGGGTCTATTACAGGAGGGAGTGGGAGGTAGTTCGGTGCCCTGCAATGTACAGGAAGTCAGACTAAATGCTCAGGATGGTCCTTTCTTGGCCTTATAATTTAAAAGTCAATGGGCAAAATATGCTGTACATTGTTTCAAAATCTATTTGAACGTTTTTGGTGAGCTACAATTTTTTGGCACTGGTGTGCAAAAATTTATAATGTTTAATAACAATCAGTGGCCAATGCTACTGCCTTTGGGGGACATGGGCAGTAGATGGTTGCCTGGGAAAGGCTCCACCTTATTTCCTACTGCGGTGAGCAGGGTGGAGAAACAAGGAGGAAAACTGTGCACCAATCTGGAAGTTAAGGCTGAAATGTTCAATTTTGGTTGCTTTGGTTTTATCACTGATGGGGAACTGAGAGCTGATCCTTTGCCTCATGTTATTAAATGTAAAACTCATGGCTGCGGAACTCAGCACTATCCATGAGCTGATAGAATGTGAAGCCTATGACTGCATGAATGGATGCCATTATCGGACTGTTGTTGGTGGAGATGGTTCTAACTGTGTGAAAGGGGAATGTACAAAGAAATAAGCTTTTTTTGGGGGGAGAGAGGCAGGTAGTATAAAAGTATTAGTACTGGTATTATCTATTTATATTAGAACAAGATCTAGGCACACCAATTCCAGGATTAGGGCCCCATTTTGCTAGGCACTGAACAGATAAATCACAAAAAACACAGTCCTTGCCCCAGAGAGTTCACAGGCTAGGTAGACTGACAGGATTCACCAGAAGGTCAAAAAGAGATAAATATGGTTGAGAAGGATGAGTCAACAAAATATAGGTGATTTCCCATCCTACCATTAGTTCTGAGGGAACGTTTCCACTTTTGGGTGTTAATTTTAGGGAATTTTTCTTGTTTAAAAAAGGATCATTGAAGCAACTTTGGCTGTTCCTTGAGTCCTCAGATTTCCTTAACCCTGGTCAACCAATCTGCCGGACTGCGTATGGCACTGGCTGCTATAGCTGATCATGTCCTAGGCATAGCTGGTGCTAAAAATACTTAAATCTGTCAGTAGTTAAAACACAGTAAAAATGTGTGTAAAAACTCAGATTTTTGTTAACATTTAGAAAAATTCCAACCAGCTCCCATCACTACTGTTTACTACTATTGGTCATAAGGTTTCATTGACGTGTCTGTGGCCTATCAAAGCAGTGGAGTTGTGTTGGAGTAGCTCTACGAGGATTCAGCCACCATGCACGAAGGCAGCTACCCTCTTTTTTCATCACCTCTCTTGTTCAATATATTCATGAGACCACTTGGAAAGGGACATTAGTTGTGATGTATTCAATAGGCTAAAGACACCCAATTGTATCTGCTATCTTGCCTGCCCCAGCTGGTATAGTGGAACCATATCCTTGTGTTTAAATGAGTCGGGGTTTAGATGATTGTGACTCAGTCCAGATAAATTAGAGATAAAGTTGGTGGAGGCATCCAGAAGAGCTGATGGCACTTTAATCAGTGCCATGACTGGGGGAGTGTGACCGCCATCTGTGACCCAGATGAACAGTTTAAGCATATTGGTAGATCCAAGGCTGCTCCTGGATGCCCTAGGAGAGATGGTGGCCAAGAACACATTTTAATTTTGTGTTTGGCAAGAAGAGGGTAACCTTTTAATTCCTGTGTGGCACTTCCCACTCTTACCCTTTGTCACTTTTACCCTGCTAGTGTAGATCTGGCCTGCCTGTTTGATTGATTGCAGTTGTGTTGCTCCATGCAGGGTGCATTACAGCAATCCAGGGCTAAGTCAAACTAAGATACACAACTCCAGCAATATGAATAGCGTAGCAGGAGTTCATGTACCTTAGGTTCAATTTCTGCAGTGTCCCCACTGTGGGAGGTCAATGAGAGAAACTCTCCCATTGGCTTCCTTTACTCCTCGTGACTGGAATTGACGGTCATGATCAGTGGTTGATTTAGTGGGTCCTTACTAGACCCACTAAATCATCTCTCAGGAGATGGATCTGCAGCATTGATCTCCCAGTAAATGGAGACAAGGCTTCAAGCTAGCTGAGAATATGGCTGTCCCCTAGAAGCACATTATATTGCGGCTATGGGATTGATCTTTCTTAAGTATTTATATGGGACGCATCACTGTAGCATTGGCGTGTATGATCTCTATGAACTGCTCATACACTTCTGGGAATTCTAGGGGTTGGTTTTAATCTATATAGTTTATATGTTTTGGGATAAGGTGATCTGAGAGACTGCCTCTCCTCCTCAAATCATTTTGATGGTATTGTTATACTAGTGTAAATCTGAAGTGACACAGTGGTGAGCCAAGCCCTTTGCATAAAATAAATAAGATCATGTCTGCCTCTCTCTGTCTGGGAAGGAGTCATATGAAATGATACACAAAGTGATACTTTCTGTTCAAGACAAAGCTCCCTAATGCTACTGACTGGCCCACACAGGAGAAGCCATCGCTGTTATTTTGTAGATCATTGCACAGCAGGATTTGACAGATTCTGTGATACTTGGTCCCACTGGTTCCTTTGCAACAGATGTGTGGTCTGTATGAAGTGTTGTGTGTTCCAGTTATAGGTTGGCTGCTTCTGGAAGGTCTCAACAGATAGAATTAGGGAAGGAGTACTGTAGTATAACATTTTTCTTTGGCAGGACCATTGGAACTGCTTTGAGACTGACTTTCATCTGGTCTTGCAATGTATCATGGGTCTGATTCTCCTCTGCTTTACAATACTGTAAAGCAGGAGTGAATCCACCAGAAACCACATATTTATACTGGTGTAAATCAGAGAATAGGCATGAACCCATTATTACTTAATTGTCTGTCCAAATCCTTGGCAAAATTCCTATGACATCAATGGGAGCAGGATCAAGCCAGGACCATAAACTCCTAAGGGTGGGACCATGAGGACTGACTATTAGCTCACACCAGTTTAACTCTATCCATGACAGTGCAGTTACTTCTGATTTACACCATGTGAGTTCAGATTCAGGCCCCTGTGTCTTTTTTCATGTTTGCATAGCGTTGAGCACACAGGCAGTGGTTGTTAGCAAAGACAATCGATCACACCCAAAGAAAGCATATGCTGATTACATTTTAAAATATGGTTCTCTGTAGTGCTTTTTTTGCTTGTTTGGTCCGTTGTGTCCTGCACTGCTTCATTCTGTTTATGTAGCACAGGGTAAAGCCAGATATTTAGTCTGTAGCTCATGACAAGCCCTGTACTGAATTGTCACAGTGGAGAATGTCTGGCAGGTTATCAGAATATTTCATTTCT